TACATTTCTCTTGAGATTACAATAAAAAATTGAAATATATAAGGGAAATGTGGGTATTTTGACGAATTGAACATATTTTTCGTTATAAGTTTCGGAGTAGAAAATCAATTTACTGCGCAGAAACGTTATAACGAAAAAACCTATTAGTAAAAAGGTATTAATATTGCGTCAAAATTTGAGGATAAGTAAAAGATGGTATTTCGAACAACTTTACTTGGTAATGAGATTCGGTTTACTTAGTAAAAAAACGGTTTATTGTAATATGTTCAATTCGTCAAAATACCACATTTATCTAATAAAGTATTATACCCACGGAGTTCATCGTTTTTATATATTGTAGAGCAGACTCAAATTTACATAGTAAAAACAAAAAAATAAAATTTAAGTTTTTGACAAACTTTTGTTAGTAAGAAGTGTTAGCTTCATCAAAATACCCACATTTCCCTTATGATCTAGAAATTATATTTTAATAATTTCATAAATTAGAAAGTTAGGTTATATTAATTTCATAATTCGAAATTCGAAAGTTAGGCCATTGTTATGTTTACTTTTTATTATCATTATTGAATTTGATATTGCAGTACGTATACCAATAAGAGAATTTCATTTTATTTTACACCTCCCTGGAACCCACACAGAACCCACACAGAACACAAAAATTTTTCACCTATTGTCTGCTCGAGAAATTATTTATTTATACGTAGTAAACATTTGCACAAAAAATTAATTAATTATATCGTTATTTATATTTGTAGATTTTTTTTTTATCGCTTTCTATCGCTATACGTACGTACGCATATCAAATATAGGTATATATTTATTTTATATAATCTACTTTCAGTACGTATACTACGTACGTATTTAATTTTTTATCAAGTTTACTGTATCGATATTTATATATATATATAGTATATAGTATATATATCGTACTGTACGTACGTACGTACGTACGTTCGTAATTATTTTACATAGTTAACTACCCTAATTTGACTAGTCTGATTCAAGAGTTTAAATTGGTCAAATAAGAATAAATATAGATTTAAAACTAAGTTGTGTCAGACTTAAATTTGAGTTTAATCGATTTAATCTACTAAGCTAATTTCTAAATTCATCTTATTAATAAAAAGATATCACAACGGTCGATTGATTGACGACGCCCCACTTCATTAAAACTTCGTTAAAAATATTTGAAGTTACACGACCGATTAAATTCATCAAAGAACATTCGTTATTAATAAAATAAGGAAAAAATTTTTTTTTGAATTACTACGTATAATTTCATTATTTAAACTATCTTAAACGCTGCACAACAGTTTAAGTTTTCCTAATTCACCAAAATATAAGAATTTGTAATTCATAACTTAAACTATGAGAAATGTTGCACGACCATTTAAATTTCTCCTAATTTACGATCAAAAGTACACGCCAAAGCTATTCGCTATTAATAATTATTTACTCTTTCGAGTGATTTTGTTCTTTTAAACTGGAGACACAAATTATAACGCGTACGTACGTACGTATCAGTAAGTCATTATTTTAATATGCACGTACGTATTTTATTGTACATATAGAAATGCATCAAAAAAGCAACTGCTTGACTGCTTTGTCTAAATTATTGATTTAAAAGGTTATTAAAAGAATTTTTAATATAGATTTTAGGTAATATATATGCGCAAGCTTGTAAGAGAAAATTGGTTTTACGGACGCATAAAAGAAGATAAAAAAAAAAAATTTCATCAACGAAGAAACAGGTTTTCTAAACGAAATATTGGATAAGATCGGCTCATCTCAAAACAAATACGCGAAAAAATTACGCCACAACAACCGAAGAATCATCTACCAAGATTTAGGGCGACCCGAGCTCCTTTATTGTAAAACAATAATGTATGCGACAACATAAGTATACAGGCTCTTTTAGATTTACACATGTTTATCTATTACCGTATCGTTCCGACGTAATGTAATTTAGATGAATATTGATATCGATTGACATTTATTATTTGGTTATTATACAAAATAGGGTGATGCTTTAATTCAGTATATGCACGACGTGATTCAAATACATAAATTCACGGCCTACCCTTGACCAACTATAATTTCGAGGTTGTACGCAACTCGCTCAGAAAACATAATGTGGGCGAACGAACAATTGTATTTGATGCAGGCTGTAATGCCATACCATCCATATTCATTAGCCCATCATGAAATTAGCCCTCGTTCGGTCTTCCCCACATAATGTGCTTTAAGTAACACAAAGTCAAAAATTTTTGATAGCTTTGACAATTTGACATGGCTTTAACAAGTTACCATATGTTTAGTTTACCAAAAAAGACAATGGCTTCCTATAATGTTCATACGAATTTACCTTCCACAAGTCGACCGCAGTATTACAGTTATAGTAAAACAATGACGTTAGCGTGCTTTTGTAAGAATCAAGCAGGTTTGAATGATAATCACATACTACCAATTTATTTACAGCGCAAGTTACAGTATCATGCAGGTACATACATACGTACGTATCATCTGACAAAATGTCTTGAAAAAAAATCAATTGAACTTTCCACTAATAGTGTTTCTAGTGATCTTCTGTTTGTTGCCGACAAGCATAATTGTATTGATCTACATAATATAGAAAAAAATTTTTTTTTCAATATCTATTTCTTATTGAATGATTTCAATATTAATAATCTTAAATATAATCTTAGATAAATAAGTATCAACATGCACAGTACGTACGTACTTAACTATCATGGTTCTTTTTGATCAGAAACCGGCGAAGATAAGAAATGATAATTAGTTGGTGCATACATTTTCGCTAGCTTGAATAAGTGAATTACCGGTTACGCACTCGTATATGCTGTAATAGACGATTTCAGCGTGACAACCAAAAAAAGGAAAATGATAAAAAAAAAGTTCTGCCTCCGCCCAATTCAATGAACTACTTCATAAAAATGTACGTACGTACGTATACACATACGTACTTAATGTAAGGAAAAAATTAAATTCGTAGCATTTAGCATGTAATGATAAAAAAAAAAAAAAAAAAAAAACCTTGATAACAAAAAAAAAAAAAAAAAAAAACCTTGGCAGCAAAATAAATAACTTAGCTCAAAATAAATATATACATAAAAATAAAATAAAATAAAGCCTGTGAATAACGTGGATAATGTGCCACGAGTTTTTAACCAGTCCTTCGGTAGCATAAATGCTTGAGATTGTGCAAAAAAAATATAAATATGTGATAGCAAATAGGCCGACTATTTAACGTTTAAAAAAAAAAAAAAAAAAAAAAATTCACGTCTAATCAGAATCGATTCGAATTGTTTTTTTTTTTTTTTTTAAATAATTGTTCACCCCGTTCTTTGAGTTTTTTTTTCATTTTTTAACGGCATTAAAAACTTCAGACGTACCAACTCTTATTCTTTCACTAATGGAAAACCAATATGATGTACCTTCTCCTGTTTACACCATATTTCCCTCGGTAAATACTTCCCCTATTCAATTACACTCGATGATTCATTCCGACACGATAATATCTTCGAATCCTTGCACGGGAGGCTTTATGTTACCTAGCCCAAAACCTAATGGTGGTAAACAACTTAATGCATGCATTCCGTTTCGAAACACTCAACAACAACAACAACAATTACTGATACAGCAACAAGGCGCCGCTGCGTCCTTATATTATCCTTTATCTATAAATATATCGAATCAACAATTTTCTTCGTCTATTTATCCGCTGAACGGGTTCAAAGTTGAGGTATTTTGTTGACCGTTTGTTGCTCTTATTAATCTATTTATTTCATTTTTTTTATTTCTGACTCTTTCGGAATGTACTTTATTAAATTACGTCAGTGTTCTAATCTTAATGATTCAATGGCTGTCACACAAGAAGGTATTGTTTCCGTGAACGAGCTAACCAAATTTTTTTTAAAAATAATTTTTTTTTTTTTTTTTTATACTAATTTTTATAATACTCAATTTATTAAAAGTGTAAATAATTTCTCTAATTCAATTGATCATCCAAAGATGCTATCGACTCCAAAGTTCATTTTGTATCAACTACCAATCCTTATGATAGTAGCTATCCGCCGACGCCAACTACTCCTCGTAATGAATCTTTTTTTCCGATGACTCCTCCGATTGAAACAAATCCTGCTATTTATTATGATCGGGGTCAATACCTCCTCCATTTTGCAAAACCTCGTGATCCATTTCAAGCGTTTAAAAATTTCGTGATTGCCACGAATTTAGGTTCACTGCGTGCAAAACACCAAGTTGCTTATTGCTTGCAACATGGTATTGGTGTGGAAAAGTATGTGCAAGCTATTGTTAAATTATTAAATGTTATAAATTTATATTTCTCGTCTATAATCCTATTTATAATTTTCTTAGAGATGAAAAAAAAGCCGTTGAAATCTATTTAGAAACTGCCAATTCTGATCCTCCAATTGCTGCTAGTTTATGTCAATTAGGAATCTGTTTTCAGATTGGCATTGGCGTTGAAGTAGATCCTTCGCGTGCTGTTAAATATTATGAACGCGCTGTCCATATCGGGTATGTCTAACTTAATTTGTTTTTTTGCATATATTATTATTATGATTATTATTATACTTGACCCTCGTTAATATCAACCTAAACAATAAATTGAATTTCTATATATTAACATTATACTAAAATTCCCTTATATATGTGTGTATCTATCTTATCAACTTTAATATGATCCCTTATTAATATCACTATTAACATGAATATAAAAGTGATCCAAATGGGTTGATATTAGCGAGGATCAAGTGTATTATTATTATTATTATTATTATTATTACTTTGATTAATTTTTACTTTATGTAGAAATCCGGACGCAATGTTCAACCTTGCTTACTGTCTTCGTCGTGGCATTGGCACGCCTGTTGATTGTCAGCATGCCTATAATCTTTACCTGCGTCTTGCGGAGTTAGGTGACCCGCAAGGTATGAAATTTGCCGGAAATTGTTATTCCGCTGGAATAGGTACTCCCAAAAATGACGCTGAAGCTTTCAAGTGGTTTCATCGGTCAAGTGAGTGTGATCACTATTGGGGCGGTAAAATGGAATACGCGTTATTACTTTACGAAAGTGCCATGTCTGCTATTGAACTTGGCCATGTTGCTCTCGACTTTGCTGCCCCGAACTTTTGTGAAGCTTTCCACTTGATACGCGAAGTATGCGAAAATTTCCCCTCTTGTCCTGGTCTTAATAAATTAATGCTGGGTAAATTTTATCATTTTGGCATCGGATGCCAAAAAGATTTTCAAAAAGCTTTACAGTGGTACGAGAAGGCTTTAAAAAGTTACTTCATGACTACCCAATCTTTGAGGGAATGTGAATCATTAATCAATGACATCCGTCAAAGCTTTGATTCTTCATTATCGACAGCCATTAAAAATGAAATATTAATAGGAGGGTTTTGAAGAAATGGGCATTTACTTCGACTATCCCTTTTTATTACGGTATTCGTTTTTTTTTTTTTTTTTTTAAATTCGCTTTAATAATATTTGATTCAGGTAAGTTGTAGCAATTAAGAAATGCTTATCATTATTTCTAAGTATAATTATTATGAGCTCTCATATGTTTCTAAGCTATATATATATGTATGTATGTATGTATATATGTATATATATATATGTATAAACGGCGAAAATATAAAATATTGATTTTTTGCCGATGTTAAGAACAAAAAGATAGTTAAGGTTCGTGAATAAATACGATACTAAATAAAAAAAACAATAATAATAAACCGATTGTGTGGTAAAAAATATATTTTGATTGCACAATTTAAAAATATTGACACATTATGCATCGAGAAGTTTTTTGGCATTAAGGTGAAGACTTATCATTAAATTTATTTAATTTGAACTAAAAAAATCTTTAAATTTATATAAAATTTTTAAAAGAGAAGAAATTTGCTACAGTCAAAATTTTAAGTATCTCTCCCTCTAACTTTTTAAATTTAAAGCTATTTTTATTATAAATAATATTATGTAAATGTTGATCAGTAAATTTTTTTTTTAATTACTAGATTAAAAGCTAAAATTTTTAGTAAATTTTTTTAAAAATAATTGAATTCAATTAAAACTTAATAAAAAATTTAGAATCAAATTCAAAAATTCCTTTTTTTCTTTTACAATTCGGCAATTCTGCCTTTATTTGAGATTAAACTATTCAAGAAATATACTTTTTCTGTCTATAGCTATACCTGATATAACCAAACAAGAACTCACCCGTGATATGCCAGGTGCGACCTGCCTTAGTAGCCTTTGGCCTTTTTTCTGGGTTCTTAACTTACTAAGAACTTTTTTCTTTTTGATTATAAGCATCTTGTTAAAACTACTAGTTGTATTTATAATTCACAGCATAACTATACTTTGGTCAGAACCAGTACTTGTGAACAATACTAAGCATTGAATCGCTAATCTTTTAAAAAGATTATGTTGTATATATTTTATTTTATTAATTCTATCTATTCTATTACTAACTAATTTTCATATATTCTTTTATTATTGCTTATGTTTCATCTTTATTCCTCTTCTTCTTATCTTTTGTTAGTAGTTTGCTTTTGTATTTTCATTTTTTATTCTTCTTTTTATACCTTTTCTAGTAGCTAAGTTCTGCTTTCTTCTTTTTATAATTGCTACTTCTTTTTTCTTTTTCCTTTATTTTGTAGTTTTTATTATTCTTTTTTCTTTTTGTTGCTATATCTATTTTTTTTTTCTTTTTTTTGTTTTGAATTATTTATTCTTTAATACTAGAGTTATAAACTGGTTTATTGCTTTTTGGGTTAGGCTATTGTTGAATAAAATTTACTTTTTTGCTATATTTTGTAAATTATACTTTAATATATCAATTCTAAGTTTAGAATTTTGCTTAAGTTTTTTGTTTATTATTTTTACTATTATTTGGGTCATGAGGGAATATAGTTGTGTAACTAGAATTAGTTAGTTGTGAAGCACAAAAACCAGATAATATGGAGGTAGGATATGGAATACTCTGATAGGTTTAGGTTACAGATAAAGTAGTCTGAGCCCTGTATTCGAAAATTAGTTCGGTTAGTAGATGCATGAGTGAGCAACAAGGTTGTATAGTAGTGTACAAACTTAAGAATTAATAAAAGATACAAGAGGCATGACCTCACCTTAACACCGAAAAAAAAAAATTAAAATAAAATATTTATATAAAATATTCAAAAAAGTTTAACTATAATAGAATTGGAATTTCTTTTAAGAAAATTACTACAAATTATAATTAAGCTACTATCAAAAAATTTGCTATACTCGAGATGACATGGATGTGTTCTATTTGTTAAAGCAATTATATTCAAAATATTTTGCATATATATATATATAATTTTAATTGAATATACACGTGAAGCGTAAGTTTAATCAAATCGTTATAATTACAATTTTTAAAATTATATTAACTACAAAATAGTCTATGCCGTTTTCTAATTTAAAAATAAAAATATGCATTAATAATTAAAATAAATTAAAAATGATGTGAAGCAATTAGAATATATACATAAGTTTAAATAAATATGTTGTAATAATTTTTTTATTAATCGTAAATTTTTACAAATATTTGTTGAAAACACTGTACCATTTTCAAATTGAAAAATGAAATATGTCAATTAATAATTGATATAAATTGAGAAATGACGTATAACATATATAGCCTGATTGTCTTATTATATAACGATCATTGCGATATCTGTTTGTAGTATTTATTTATACTATTTAGCCTGTCCTTTAATACAAACCTTATTTATAAAAAATTTTATATATACAAAAAAAATCACCGGGCAGCCAGGTCCAAAAATTTTTCCAATATTATATAAACCAGATTATTTTATTTGTATCACCTTATATTAATGTGAGTTATTTTTATATTTTATTATAATAATCTTTGTTTTTTACTTTTAAATTAAAATATATTAATAAATAGCTATTATTTTATGCCAACTCATTACTATAGCGACTCCACAATTGATTAATAAAAATTAATCACATAGACCATATGTCTGATCAAACAACAATTAGGTTATCTGATCGGACATATAGTCTACATAATTAATTTTCATTAATCAACTAGTATACTTAATAAAATTTTATCATTATTAAAGAAAATATTTAATAGACAAATCACGAGTCACCTAAACAAATATATTTTTTTTATATATAAATTTTACTATAAGCCTGAATGTACAGCGCTTCTATTTAAAACTTTTTTTTTACTAAGTAAATCACTTTTGAGCTTGTAATAAAAGTTGTAAAGCTCATCAAGATGCATTTAATAGTGAAAGAACACTAAAATCGGTCTGGTGGTTCTTGAGAAATCTTTAAAAAACTTCTTTCTTACATATAAAATTTCTTTAAAAAAAATTAATTTTTTTTTAAAGAAATTTTATATGTGAAAAAAAAGTTTTTTAAAGATTTCTCAAGAATCACCAGACCGATTTTAGTGTTCTTTCACTATTAAATGCATTTTGATGAGCTCTACAACTTTTATTACAAGTCCAAAAGTAATTTACTTAGGAAAAAAGTTTTAGATAGAAGCATTGCACATTCAGGCTTATAATAAAATTTACATATAAAAAAAAAATATTTGTTTAGGTGACTCACGATTTGTCTATTAATTTATTATAATTCAATTAATTACAATATAATATCTAAACAAACAAGACAAAAAAAAAGCTACAAAAGACATTATATTCTATTTAGTTAGGTTGTTAAAAATCTATTGTCAACATCTTGAATATTAACTAATTTATTAGAGAAGCTGAAAAGAGTCATATAAAGATATAAAAAAAAAATACCAAAATCACTAAAATATAAACAAAACAAAGCTAAAAAGATCTACAAGAATAAGAAAAGCTGATAAGAATCACTAAATATATATATAAAAAAAAACACCAAGATTACTAGAAGAATATAAACAAAGTGAAGCCAAAAAAATCTATAAAAATGATAAGAAAAGCTGGTAAGAATCATTATATGGGGGGAGTCAGTAGAAATGGGACAAATTTTTTCTAAGTAAAAGTTTTCTTAACTTTAAATTTAAATATCTTGTCAA